GAATCCAGCTGTGTCAGTGCAAGATAGCCAAGTCACTGGTAGTCTCCAGAACGAGTGCTTAGTGGCGCGTCAAGTCTAAGAAGATGAAAGTATTTCAAACTCTCATGATGCCGTCTGGTGCCGTTCGTCAGAAACGGACGTCCAAGGCCATGGTCTTGTGCATACCAGAAAATTGACAGCGGAAATGTCAGGAGTTTAAATTTCAACGATGGAAAGGATTTCACGCTTCAGGAGCTGCTGAACGGAACGCTCAGAGCAATCCACAACGAGAACGGCAAGATAGAACAATGAGCGGTCACATGAGCGATGGTCCGGCAAAACGGTTAAACTGCGAAAAAATTGCAAAGAAGCTCTTGGCCAGCACAAGCGCTTCCTGTAATTGACAATATAAAATATTTCTTTGTACTTTGAAAACGCGATAGGCGATTATGCTGCGTGCACGCGCCTCCTGAAAGAGAAGCCGCCGCCGGCCTGTGATGAGTTCCTTTCAGCCAGCCTCATTTTTCAGCAGGGCGGCTCCTCTCTGAACCCTGCCACCTCATCAGAGCAGGATGAGTGGCCGCCAAATTCCGCTGACCTGATTCCTCTGCACTTTTGCGTCTGGAATGCGCGGTTGAGGGAGCGTACCGGCCTCGTCAGCAGAAGCTTCTTAGTCTGAAAAAGCTGAAGGGCCTCCCGGCTGCAGGGAGGATGGTGTCACAGAACACTATAAGGAGGAGCACCCGTCAGTAGACGCAGAGGCTGCCTCCTATGGTTTCAGCTGATGGTGGTTTCACAGCTCGTGTCTTACAATAAAAGACTGCCAATGCGCAGGAAACGCAAAGAAAAGTTGACTACGCTGAACTTTGGCGCGCACGGTCTACATGGCTTCGTCATTCGACACTCAAAACATCACGCAGATGCATACTGACTCCATCTAGACAGTGTGTACGCAGCTTCCAGCTCGCCGACGAGCTGACTTTAGCACCGATACTGCATTCTCCTCGGCCGCCCTAATGCGGCGCATTCGCCCACGAGCTTGATTGCAGGTCAGTTGCAATCTGAAGTTATTATTGCGATTTAACCGCAATCGGCCCCTGCAGCGGAATTCGCGTTCTAATTGAGCCGTCGCCACCGACCAGTGGCGGATCCAGGAATTTCGTCAGGGGGGGGGGGGGCACGCAGCATGGTACACCTCTCCTGGAGTTCAAATCCTCGTATCTCGGCTGTTAAAGCTTGAGCTTCTGGTGTATGCTACTTGTCATGCGCAGCCTATATACGCATGCACATACATGGAGCGCACTCATTTTCTCCAGATCGTGGTGGATCCTGTCATTTTTGGGCCAAGTATGTCGAGGAATACATGACAAAATGAGTTAAAGCTGGCTGCTAAATATCATCAAAATTTAGCGTGACGCTTGATTCAGAGGTTATTTACCGCCAGCCGGCTAGTCGTTGTGATCAGCTCACGGTTAGTGACTAATACAGACTTTGTATTTTGACTGTATTGAAAAAGTACAAAATACCCTAGCATCCAACATGTGTTTAGAACACAATGCACAATGATGCATCTGAATAACCAGTGAATTGACACATACCCATCGCTGAACGAGGAAGGGCCCCGGCTGGTGAACATTTTGGGCCACGCCCAGAGCTCAGGGCCCTTCTGGCAAACGAAAATAACCCAATATCAATGGACATAAATTGATATGATTGAGCAATCGTGAGCGTTTTGGCGCATGCACGCATAGGGCCCGCGACCACAGCGTGGGGTCCTCCACAAACATCTGTAGTGCCCAAGGTCATTGTGGCGGGCCCCTGTGCAATCAAGAGTGCCTGGGCAGGTTAATAGAAAGGGCCGCAGTAGGAGCATGGGTCCCCGCAAATGAGATCCGAGGGAAAGAGTTCTGGACCAGTGTTGACGATCCCTGAGCATTGAGTGTCTCAGGTACGTTAACTCGTATGGATCCAGCAACAACGCAGGGCCCTCCGAGGAAGTGGAAAGACATCGAGACCAATGTGAAGGGCCCCTGAGCAACCGAGGGTACCCCGGCAGGTTAACACTCGGCAACAGCACACAGAGCCTTTTAGGCGAATGGGAGGAATCCGTGGGATCTTGATCGATCAAGAGCACTCCGGCAGGTTAGCATATAGGCCCCGGCAACAGCGCATGATCCTCCGAGCAAATGCAAAGAAATCAAGGACGACGTGAAAGCCTCCTTTTTTGTTGGCGTCCAATTTTGTTGCGTTTTGTGCAACAACAAAAAAAGCTGCGTCTGTTCGATCTGTTGCGGGGCCTTCGGAGCGTATAAGCCGTTCGGTACCAAGGGGAGGGGGCACAGCCCAGTACCCCCCTCTGGATCCGCCACTGCCGATCACAGCGGCTGTCCAGCGAGTGCGGGGCGGTGCGCTGGCGCCAGAGCGGCTGAACTCTCGCGCACCGCCGCACCCGTACCCGGTCCAGTGGCGGCCCAGAGCTGTACCCGGATACGGTGCCAGCTGGGGATCGGACCAGGCACGCCGACCGGAATTGGCGCCGCGGAACACCGCCCGGCACTCCCCAGGCGGGCTGGTAAGGGCTTGCACTGGCAGGTGGTGGAATGGTGCAGAGACGTTCGCGGAAAATTTCGATTGAGCGTTCCTTGGAGTGCTCCAGTGACGTCATCCACGTACGAGCATGCGGCACGACGTTGGCGGATAAAGCAGCTTATCTCCAATTTTTAGGCTGATATCAGCATCGATTGCGTAACAGACGATCCACTGTCAGCCGTCGTGCCGCGCCGAAGGGATGGCTTAACTTCACGTGTAATCCGAGTAGAGGAACCGGTGCCTAGGTCATCACCACGATCGGCCCGATGTAATGGAGTCGTCCGAGAAAGGTCAGTCAGCGTTAGCATCGCCAGGTTCATGCATTAAAGGCTTAACTACCTGAGAGTGGCGCCGCTGCAAGTGCAAATGTTTTAAAACATATGATGTACGATGTAATGCAGCCATCGTTTCGTTATGGCATGCAGCAGTCGGGAGATGCGCCAGCCTGGGTTCCAATCAGCGACCGCAGATTAATTCTTTTGGCCCACACCGACAGCTACACCTCACGATTCCCCACCCACCGGGCTAAGACGTGCTGAAATTGGCTCGTGGGTCGTGCCGGGCGCCTATGGCTGCCTCCAAGGTGAGCGAGAGGGGGGAGGGGGTCATCGCGGCCTTCCAGCGTCCGCCGTGCGGACGGTCACGGTGCCGGCGGCTCGGTGGGCAGGCGTGGGTGGTGGGATCGGCCCAGCGCCGGCCCGCGGTGTTGCGGTGTATGCTCTGCGCCTGGCGGACGGTGGCGATGTCCCGCAGTGAGTCCATTTAATTGGAGAATACCTGAATCACCTGCCGACGGTATCTGCCATCTGCCGGATGAGCTTCAGCACGCACACGCACATTGCACCAAGGCGGCTACACGCGTCATTTTTATCGGCGGCGTGAGAATGCCAACTTTTCAACTCTTGCTGCCTTTTTGGGTGCACTCGCAGCATTCAGGAGCCGAACTGACATTTAGCGCGAAGGCTTGGTGCACATTACCCGCGAGGTGTTTGGAATATTTTGCATTGCGTGGAAAATCGCATCGGCCGCCGGCAAACCCCGGGAAAAGCGAATTTCGGACTCCACGCAGTGATCTCTGTCATGTTGGGTCACGTAAGGGCAGACCCAATGCCAGACCTATAACCCGATGTCTGTCATGCGCGTGTGCCGTAACTCACGTCAAGACTACATGAGAGCCCATGGAAGATAAAGTAAGGGGACATAAACCAACATCAAGTTACATGCATTGCATGCGTAGGTGTCGCTGGGCAGAGCTCTGAAAGGTCGTGCCGACGCTAACCCTGCGGTTCAGGAGGTGGTCGACGCTGACCCTGCGTCCCCGGAGGTGGCCGACGCTGACCCTGTGCCCCCGGAGGTGGCCGACGCTGACCCTGCGCCCCCGGAGGTGGCCGACGCTGACCCTGCGCCCCCGGAGGTGGCTGACGCTGGCCTGTTTTCACGTGGCTCCGTGATAGAACCACTGTTGGCCGGGCTCAGCCGCTCGTGCTGGTATGTCAATTCATGGACATGCAGCAGCCACACGCTGCAGTGACAAATGCGAACAGACTACTTCTGGGCATGTTAACTGTAAATGGTAATATAAAATACATCGCCTGTCGCTCAAAATGCTTCGCTGTCCAACTAGCGGTAACGATGCTGCCACATACTAATAACGTTAGAAAAATGTGTTGGTGTGTTTGCTGAATGGTGTGGACAAGTCCAATATATGAAATAGTGCGCTGATAGTAGCTAAACAAAAACTGTAGGTGCAGGTGGTAAGTGGAGCATTTATATCTTTAAGGAAGTTTTGTATCTTGGGAGTGGGCAAAGTCATCTCCCGTTGGTGGGCATCGCCTCTCCAGTGCCGCTTTTAAGTATGTCCTGGGCATGAGTAACCTGTGGGGATCCGTCGGCCACCGCTGATTCGACGGCGCGTGGCTATGTAATGACCGGTGTTAAGCTGTAGTGGAGGCCAGTGCCGACGCTGCACCCACCAAGGACCCCGTAACCATCTACTGACCCGAAGCCCCGGAGGCCGTGACCCTTACCGGTCCAGGAGACCTCCCACGCTGCCCTGTGACCATCTACTGACCCGACGCCCCGGAGGTTGTGACCCTTACCGGTCCAGGAGACCTCCCACGCTGCCCCGTGACCATCTACTGACCCGAAGCCCCGGAGGCCGTGACCCTTACCGGTCCAGGAGACCTCCCACGCTGCCCTGTGACCATCTACTGACTCGACGCCCCGGAGGTTGTGACCCTTACCGGTCCAGGAGATCTCCCACGCTGCCCTGTGACCATCTACTGACTCGACGCCCCGGAAGCCGTGATCCTTACCAGTCCGGGTGACCTGCCACGCGGCCGCTTGGCAGACTGTTGGCTGGATACATCGGAGGTCATGACCCTTTCCAGTCCAGGTAACCCGTGACAGTGTTCCCGTCACCAATCACTGACCTGGTGTCGCCGACACATAGACCTCCATCGGAGCGGTCTCGCAGGAAGCAGGCGTTGTCGCGGCCCAGCAGGTTGGTATTGGGGTCCTCCATCAGCTCGGGACACAAGACGAGCGGCACGCAGATCAGCTGGGCCGCCGCCGAGGTCACCCCCAGCAGCAGCGCCGCCAGCCGCCAGAGCTGCGGCAAGGGGGGGGGGAGCTTGGCCTTGGCTCTATCTCTTACCGCCGCTGCGGTCAGCCGTCGTGTTCGGTGCCAGCCGAGCGGTCTGCAGGCCTATATGCGGGGCGGGGCTGAGGAATACCTGCGACGGAGCTGGGCCGGGCCTGGGGCGGACCTTGGGCGGATCTGAAGATACGTCGGCAGGACCAATAGGAAGTCACAAGACGCCATGTTGAGCCCGTCGGCAACGGGGTGGTATGCATTTATCTTTTCATCTTCAGCGTGCAGCTTTTCAGCGAGCAGCTGCACGTGCATTCAGTATTCTCTATCTCGCGCTCACGCGGGCGAGTGTTCTGCAAACAGCCATTTGGAGGATGGCTATGCAAGAGTTTCTGATGGAAGCTCAAAACTATATCAAACGGTTAACGCAGGCGGGTCTGATTGCGACAGCCTATGGAAAAAAACGATGGCGGCCCTTCGAGCGCGGTGCTTGGCAAAGCTATATCGTTTGCTTCTATCCGTGCTGTTCATTACGCCCATTAATTTTTTATCATTTCAGTTAATGCGTAACATGCAACCTGTACTGATTGTTTCATTCACTTCTTAGGCTGTTTAAGTCTTAATAACATGCAACTAAAATAAAATGTTTCACTTTTTGGAAAGTACGCTGTGCCTTATGTATGGCGCAATGCAAATAAACATAGGAAATACAGAGTTCAAATAATGTACCAAAAATATTTGCCAAGATAATGTAGCCCAGATGGAACAGGCATAGTAGCTTTGTGCCTGCTTGTTGTATCCAGTTCTACACTGGACACTTAGACAAAGGTTTTGTGTTAACGAAGCACGATGATCATAATTCCGTTTTGTGACGTGTAACTGTGACAATGAAGCTTGCCATGTCGAGCGATTTGGCGGACCGAAATAGCTTTCCTATTGTATGGTTTCTAGAATCAGATGATTATGGCGGCTGAAACCAGCACTTCAGTTCTAAACAGCAAGAAACACAACCTGAAAGTTGCAGAATGAGGGTTCCAGCTCATTGCGCATCAAAAATATATAATGAATATTGGGCCGCAAAAAGTGTGTCATTTGTATACCAGGTGCCCAGAAAACCTGTGCGCCGAAAACAGATTGTAACAATTGAAGGAAGGTGTCGCAACTGGTTTCGTGAGCAGCCGTAACAACCTTTGCAGTGGGACCAATTCAATAAACACTACCGTGGCAGTATATTAAGACGGCTTTGGAAATCACCGTTGGAACCACTCGAAAGTAAGGTTGGCACTTCCAACCAATCGTGGGTCACAAGCGACATGGGACGGCTCGGGTCCAGACACAGTCCCTTCGTCACAGCCTGGCGCCGTGCTGCCGCTTACCTGGCGAGTCATGTTGCGAGTTTGTGACACGATCTCTCGCCACTTGCCGGATGGCGAGGTCTCTTTCCACTATCCAGAGGCACGGCTCCTCGTCACAGATCCGGTGGGATTTCCTCGCCACTGACCCGATGGCACTGCTTCTCGCCACTGACTCGATGGCACGTTCCTTCGCCACTGACCCGGTGGAACTGCCTCTCGTTACTTGACCGTGTGTCACTGTCTCTCGCCACTGACCCGATGGTGAGGATCTCCGCCAGTGACCGGCGACTCGGCCCCCTCGCCACTGACCCGGCGGTGCGGTCTCCAGTCACTGGCCCTCGGTCGGCGCGGCGGCCCGCTCTTATACCGGATTATAGAACGAGTTCGGGGAACGGCAACGGCAGCGTCAATGAGTGCAGCATCTGGTGACGCGGACACACCTCAGCGGCAATTGTAGGGTTTGGCAGGCTGATCGATCGGGCTGAAGTGCTCGATGGTGGCAAGTTGAGTTCGGGGCATATTTCAACCAAATCGTACGGTAGTCACGCTTTGGAATTTGTCCCCTCCTCTCCATCTTCAGCAGGTCCGCAAGTGTCAGGCAAGGTGACGACACTACGCTAACTCAAGGTGCAAGACTTGAGTCTGCACCTACCGCTTCCACAGTGATGCTCTCTTACCGAGCTCTCCACCTCCGAGGGTCCGCTCCACTGCCACGCTGGTGTGGACACAGACGAAACAATCCAAGGATCGGGAGGCGGCTGCACGGCATAAAACGGCGTACCCCATGAGGGGTACGGTCATGTCCCGGATCGCAGCGGCGTGGGGCGTGAGGCCGCACAGCGTCGTTTTACGGCAGGGTACGATCACGACTGTGCCTTGTTTGTGTCGACAACATCCAGAGCTTCCTAAACGGTGTTACAGGGGTTATGCGGGTCATTTGTTGGCGAACTACACGATTTCTCAACTGAAGCATGAATAGCCTTGCAAGCAGGAGTAAATCTGGTTTTTGGGAAGGCTTTAATCTGGCGCTTTTGGCGGTTTATCAGGGACTTGGCTGACCAGAAAGGCAGGGCTGTGGTGCTCTCCGATGGAGAAGGTGCGCCAGAGACGGACAGCCAGTGGCTGGCGGCAGTCTGCTCCCAATGTACCCAAACGGTGGTGCTGGTGCCGCTCGGTTGGTGTAGTGAGTTAAAACCGGGCTTCATGCGCTCAGAAGTGCCGTAACATACTACAAGTTTGACTGGAACACAATTTTGCAAGGGCAGATAATTAATCATTCTAGAAAACAACTGACACGTTGGCCCAGTTCCTTAAAATGCAAGGTACCTAGCGAAAGTGAAGGAGAAATGTTAAGTGCTCATCGAGGTATGCATTTTAGTTTGAATAGTCCCTGTATGTTGACCGAAGCATGTCTTTGAAGCATGTGTTGGAAGAATGTCTTTGGGATTGCTTTGAAGGATTAAAACAACCAATGAACTTTAAGCTTTGGCTGAAAACTCTATCCAAAACCACAAACTTTATCAGCAAAAACATACATTTAGCTTAAAACCTGGGTGCCAAACACACAATTCTTGCGATTCAAGATCTAACCCTTGTGCGACATAATGAGAATGTCTGGGCCACTTCTGTAGGAACAGAAGAGCACACACATCCCCGGCAGTAAATTTATTCCACACCAAATGCCCCACCCCTGTCAGGATCCGCAATCCTCCTCCGCCACTCCTGCCCAGAAGACGGATACCGAGTCGCATGGAGACGTGGGAAGTATTCGGGACCCGTCCGGTCTCAGCTGAATGGAAGTACGTGTTCAAAGCTGATGGAGGGAGTGGGGCAGAGCCACGCGCCGCCGGCCGGACGCAGAAGAAGCTAACTTGAACTGGCCGGTCGAGAAGCTATCGTGCGAGCAGATGTGTCCGCTCGTCCGCTGTGTTGGACAGCACATTTTGAAGCTGTCCAACGTCATCGTGTTCATCTTTATACGCTAATTCTTCAGGAGGCACTGTTGTACAGGAAATCTAGATGCCCATTCACCGGCTTGCCGTTATGTGGGTTTAGATTTGCGGAGTTCTTATCAGTCCATCGCTTGACACATTACAAAACTCAGTGAGCTCAGGCTGGTTTCGACAAGGTTTGAATGCAGTGATCTTGCAGTGCGTGATGATGTGGTTAACATATTTTAGCTCGCAGCTCGCATCTCAGAGCGTTGAGAAAATCCCATGTAGAACAAATAACAATGGAGGATTACAGTTTTTAAACATGCCTGAGATGATGGACCATATGGTTCGGCAGCCCACTGACTACCGGACTGTGCATGATGTGAGGCTTCGGTGTGCCGCAAGCAGTAACACGCTCACGACCACTGTTAAACAAAGGAGGAAGCAGGCTACTGTAACTGTTCTTTCATGTTGAGCTGATCACCCCCCCCCCCCCCGCCGCTAACTTTTTCCTGCCTCATCGCCTCATCGTTCCAGCTAGAGCGTTGGAATCTGGAGACTTTTGATGTCTACCGATTCGGTACATGGCATCTAAATTTTGAAACCTTCACTATCTGGAAGACGCTCCAAGGCTACCTTGCAGAGTGTTAGTTCACGACAAAGTTATGTGTTTTAAAACTACACGTTGTGGGCGATGTTTTCTGTTTAGAGCTGTTTAGCATGTCTTTTCATAAAATTTGATTGTAGCGTGGTAATAAGAGCATACGCAAGGGGGATAGAGTAACACTTGACTGATTTTGGTTTCGATACTGAAATCAGTAGAGTTGTGCTAACAGGGTGGGTGTAGGCCGATTGCCACCCATGTGTCGGATGATATTTCCACGAATATCATGCAGTAATGGACAAAAAGAGGCAACGGGTGAGGCCATGGAGAGGTGTTGAAAACGAGGACTCAAACTGCAATCCCAGCGATTTTAGGCAGCTTTTTGTTGAAAAAGGGGCCTTGATATCCCAGCAGCGATCAAATGTTGCAGAGGCAGATGCATCAGGCCACAGAGGTGGCAGAAGGTAAACAAATGCGAAGAAGAGCTGTAGTTGTTATTCCCCTAACCAGGGGTGTCACCTTCTGAAATCAGTTAGGGTGCTGAGCCGATAAAAGTGACTTTATCTACCCCAAAGTTCTGATTTCTCCTCGAATTTCGGTCCCTTTAGTTTAGGTCCCCAAAATCAAAATCAAGAGCAAAAAGCAGTTGGCCGATCCCAAAATGATTTTGGGGCTAGGGTGTTACTTTCAGGCTGAGGCTGCATTTTTATAAAAAGCTTAGGAGGTGGGGTAACTCAAACTTGTTTGTAGATTAACGTGCTGTGGTCAAGAAAGAAAGTTTTTGGCATTCATCAATGGTGGAGAGAAGCACAAGAGACGTTGTTATGTAGAATGACGTGACTTGACGGGTACGGACGAGAGACTATTACAAAATTTGTGTAAACAACTAGGATATAAAAATGGAACTGAGCCGCACGACCTTCTAAACGGACGTGTAGATTAATGGAATGACGCAATAGGTAAAGACTGCTGGCAGTATGGTCACCAGTGACCGTTTGGGAAACCAACGCAATCAGCGCTTTGACACGTGTTAGAAGTTGCATAAGTAAGCCTCTGACCTCTTGATATTTCACCGTAATGAGTTCGGAGTTTTCATGTTGAAAAAAATCAACCTTCAGCATACGAGGAGGTTGAGGTTGAATAACGTTATCAATAATATCGTATGAATAACGTTATCAGCATGCATCACGATAAAAAACTGTCGTTTGGAGCCTGCGCTCGTGATCAGGTTTCTTCGGAAAAAAATTAACACCACCCAACATTTTTTGCTCTGGAGCACACCGCACAAAACGTGATTATTATGTCCCTCGACACAATGGTTATGGTACAGCCAGGTAGAAGGCCTACCGCCGAGCTGCACTCTAAACAACGTCGTCCCAAAGTATACTGGAGCCCATCCCAATATCTTAGTTTGTTACAGCGCCTACCATCTGCTTCACCCACCCACAAAGCAAGGTGCGTCCTAGTCGCTCCAGACATTTGCGATTTGCTTGTGGTTGGGGCAGCCTGTGGCCGATGACAGCGGACGTGCTGACGGCCAGGTGACAGCAGGGAGCAGGGTGGATCGTGCCAGGCAATGCGACATGTTAAGCTTTCTCCTGAGAATTATGCCGTCAACTGGGTATTGTGTGATTGTATGGTGGAGTCTGTGGAATCTGGTGGGTGGATGGATGGATGGTGGTATCTGGGTTCGCGTAGTGCTTATCAAGGGTGCTTACCTCAGAAATGCTCCGCTCCACCACAATACATCCCAGTCTGGCATGCATCAAGGCTGCTAAGAAAGCAGTCACATCACTAATACACAGACCGGTGTATGCATCTTATGCCCCTCCCCCACCCCATCTTATCTTGTAAGTGCAATGTTGCTGAAATATCCCTTCTTTCCATGCGAACGGATATCCAGAACACTGAGTGAGGCCTCCCGGTTGTGTCGCAAAATCTTGGTCTAACAATACAACAACATCAGGTTTGCTAAGAGGGACATATGATACAAACAGATTGTCTATATAACGTAAGTTGCTGATTTCATTTGCGAGGAGCATTATTCACATAGACGAGACGGTATTAATAGTCTTATTCCTCAGGCTATTACTTATTACTGAGGTTGTCTCTATGTGAAACTACAGTTTAAACGAGTGAACGAGATAAAAGTTAACCCACGTTGTACTCAACAACCAGCTCAGTCACAGCTGCTGTTATCACTACTGGCAAGCGCATTTCTTACACAATTAAAACTGTGGAGGATTCGGAAGAACATTCGATGACAACACGTGATCACGAGCCCTGGCATTCACCAGTGATCTCACATTCGTTAGATCCTGACTCCGCCGAAGACGTTTTGTGGATGAGAATGAGCGTGTTGTCAGCACCACCTCAGAGCGCTCCCACTTCCACTCTGATGTCCTCCTGGGCGGTTCTGGCGCAAGTTCACGGGATTGCCCGGGAAGAGCTCCAGATGAGCTCCAGATGAGTAACTCCAGCAGGACAGAGGCACACAGCACGAGCTTCACTGGAGTGCTTGGAGGAGCATTTCATTAGAATGCACATCAACGTAAGACCGTCATGGAGTGGCTTCGCCCTCGTCCGACACGTCCTTCTGGACGTGATGCTGCTGGGTAGCCCGAAGGAACGCGTCCACGTGGATGGGTCAGCGCTCCTTCGAGGGCTCAGGACCGCTTTCAGGCTTGAGATGGGACACCTCACAGTCGACAAGGTCGACAGGACAGCTGATCACCTGCAGCAGGCTCAGCAGTCGTGCATGCTGCACCGCCCGGAGGCCGTCTGGA